AGTGGGAAAGTAATTCCCATGTACAATTGCTTTGCCTTTTAAGTCATTTCTGACTGATTGCTGTCATACCTGCGATTTTTAACATCTTTCTTGGTAGCTTTAGCAATATTTTTAACATTTCACATGGTTGCAGTGGAACACTCTATGTTTAAATCAAGGAAGTGAATCCAGAGAGTGTGATGTGCTAGAAATACTCAACATTTAAAATGTTGGAAGAGCTGAATGCTTTTACATTGATAATGGCATCTATGGAAGAAGAAAAAAATTAATCATACAGTAGTACTAGAAATAGAAGTGTTAGGAGAAGCTAGGTTTAGCCTGAGAACCTTAGCTTCTATTTGTGGTTGATCCATATGGTGAGTTATAAGAACTGCAGCTTGGGACAGCTTCCTTTTCGGTGAAAGGGAATATTTTATGAGTGTAAGAATTCCTGGCAGCAGTTTTATAATTTGAACAGAAAGAAAGTTGAAAGAAATGTCAGGAACTGTTGATTGGAGAACTTCCCTTGTTTTCAGAAGCTCAGGAGGTGGAGTGTATAAGTGTTTTTCTGTTTAGCTATTGACCTTATCCTAACCCTAATAAATGTTGTTTGTCTTGATCTAATGCTAAGCATTCTTTCCATCTGGTCATGTCAGGCACAAAGAACCAAGAACACTCCTAGAGTTCAAAGCACGGAAGACTTTATTATTGCTACCTATGCACAAGAAACTAGTCAAACCTAAATTGACACTTAGATAAGAGTCAACAGAATTCATAAGAGTTGGACTTGGGTCTCTTCTGGCTGTACAATGATTCCAAACTTATAACACATTTAACCCCACCTTCCAGCTCAGCCTGCTCCTCTCCTACAGATTAATAGTACATGGATCAAGTCTATCAGCTGTTTACCATTCAGTGTTCACAGGAAGAATGTTTGCTAATCCATGTTAGCCACCAAGATACTTTTTGGAAATTCTCCTATCAGAAAACAATGGTCCCATTTTTTGCGACTTTCTAATAGCTTGAAGCTAACACATTCATTTCATGGAAAATAAAGGAACTTGTTTGGATTTGAGGACAGATGTTAGATCATCTATTGGATGGATTTGTAGACCAGAACCTAGCTCTCCACTGCATCTCCAATTGAATTGTCAATGATGCCATGAACTTTACTACTGGCATCATTTAGAATTTATTAGACAGAAAAACTACTAGAAAAAGAACACATGAAGCTATAAATTCAGGGTTCCACTGGTTTGACCCAAGGCTCTAAGATAAATGAATTCTGAAAGGGCAGCTTGAACCTTTGAAAAGTCTTGCATTGAACAGCTGTGTGTATTGGGAGAAACATCATTTTTGGAGACCGTAGGAAAACTTGGCCTGTAGCTCATTAATTCTCACTAAACAGACTACCAGTCTCCACATTTAACAACAGCCATAAGTTAATATTTGCAGCTGCAATTCAAATGTACTTGATTGGAAAGAAGAATAGATCTTTCTTCTCCAATTTGTTGTGGCTTCCCCGGAGTTTGTTTTTCTTTAAAGTACAAATTGACAGTCAAACATGTAATTAGTTGTGATGAGTGTCACAGCCAGCCATTTCCCTTTTGCCATGCCACTTCTCTAAAAGTTTCTTATTTTGATCACAATGAATTAGGCATGCTTTTCATAATCATTGAGGGAATCTAGCTTTCTTTTCATTCCTACTGCATTCACCCAATTGTCAGATTAAAACGCAATGGCAGCCTATCAGGAACAGTTTCCTGTTTCTGTGGGTATTATTTATTTAGTTGGGTTGATTTAGATCAGGGGACTCCAAATTTGGCAACTTTAAGTCTTGTGGACATCAACTCTCAGAATTCCTCTACCAGCCATGTCTTCAACCTGGTCACATTCTCCTCTAACAAAAGGCAATAAACTGGATTGGAGAGAGAATGAGTTGCCCAAACTAAGCCATGATTTTCCATGGTCCATCTATCTATAGTCTTCTCCAGGGGTGGGGAAATTCCAAGCACGTTACCTAGACCAGGGGTGTCCAACCTTGGCAACTTTAAGACTTGTGGACTTCAACTCCCAGAATTCCTCAAAGCTGGCTGAGGAATTCTGGGAATTGAAGTCCACAAGTCTTAAAGTTGCCAAGGTTGGACAGCCCTGACCTAGACAGTCCCAAAGATGCTTGTTCAGGAGGCAACTGAACTTTCTTGTTTTCTCTTGGAAGACGTTTCACTTCTCACCCAAGAAGCTCTGACTGGTGGGGAATGGAAGGAGCTTCTCGCATGAGAAGCAAAATGTCTTCAAAGAAAAAAACAGAAGACAGTCCAGTTGTCTCCTGAAAAAGCATCTTTGGGACAACCATGACCTGGATGGCTGAGAATCTCCATAGACTGTTACTTAGATAGATTTTTTTTTTTTTTGCTTCCTGGGTTTTGTTTTCAGACCGTTGACACATAGTTTGCAGCAAATTTTAGTTCCTCCGTGTCTCTTTCGTTATTAGGCGGCATTTTATCTGAGCTCAGTAGTAGATTTGGATGTTAGCCAAAAGGGAAAAAAGCAGCAAACACAGAATCATTTGTGCCATTTTGTCTTTGCTTACCACAAATGGACATAAATGTTTTATCTATGCCTAGAGAGGCCGAGTTAGGAAAAGATGCAAGGGGGTGTGTAGCCTGCAAATGCTGCCCTTCAACTAGGAAACACTCAAGATGCAGAACAAAAAAGAAAGAAAAGGAAAATGGAAGAAAGGAAAGCTTCTCAGCCCCCATCTCCCTTGATTTTTGCAAAAGAAAAGGGACTCTGAGCGGCAAACTCAGGCTGAGCTTTCTGGCAGCTGTCTTGCCAGAACCTCATTTCAGAAGTTGGACTGCAGGTGAAGGAGAGATAAAGTTCCGATTGAAATGCAAGTGAGGGAAGCAACTCCCAGTAAATTGTACCGCTAGATCTGGAAAAGTACTAGTGGCCTTCGCACTTCAGGGTTAATAATCCCCTGCTTTTTCTAATTACAACTTGCTCACAGCAGGGGAGATAACTAGGCTGCAGAAGAATATGCTTAATGAGGTGGGCATGGAAAATTCATTAAAGGCTTCTAATTGAATTTACAGTTGTACGGTTAGCGGAGGATAAGTTCTCCGTCAGGAAATGTGGGAGAAATTTGTGTCCTGCTAAATGCCCCCTCCGTCCCTTGCAAGGGAATAACCATCAATATATCCCCCTTGATGAGGTTTGAAGAATAAGCTGTTGGTTGGTTTTGAAAAGGAAGCTGGGCCATGTAGAAGAGAAGATAGTGACTTGGATATGTTGCAAAAAAACTAGGGATACTTTGGGTTTCCTTTAAGTGATTATACAGTCACAAATCCCATCATTTTTCTTCCCTATAGCATCAGCCTTGTGAACTCTCAGATTTCATCTTTCTGCTATGTATTCAAAATGGACAGTGATTAATATATATATATGCAGGGGTGGGATTATACCAGTTCGGACCTGTTCTATACAACCGGTTGTTACAATTGCTCCGTTTGGAGAACTGGCTAGCCCCTCCCCTCCCAACCCAATCAATCCTTAGCTTGCATGCATGCCATCCAACTTGTCTGCATTGTGCCTGTGCCTAATTTTTGGTAAGTTGCTATTTTTCCTTTTTTTTTCCCCTGACGATCAGCTGTTTCGGCTATCAGCTATGCTGCACAATTTAGATTAGCCAGAAAGCAGATTTCTTGCTTTCTAGCTAATCTAAATAGCTGTAGTACTGCTTTGCCCTTGCTCAGGAGGCTTCACTGAGGCCCAGTCAGGGGTGATACTCAGGGGGTTGGCGGGGGGGGGGGGGGGGGAGAAGTGGCCTGAGAACAGAGCTGAATTTTTCTTAGGACTGAAGCTTCTATTTTTCAGTGCAGTCTCAGGCAGCAGATTGCAGAAAGGTAGATCTGTGAGTGACTCTGTGATTCTGTGAGCAACTCAATCTGCCTGTCTGTTTTGCCTGATTTGGGGGAAAAGTTGCTCTATTTTTTATAAAACATTCAATATTTACATAAATA